AATTTCAAGCCTTGGTTTCTTTATAATTAGGGCGTTTAGTTGTCCTTGAATAGCTTTTGGAGCTCTCTGTCTAGTTCATGCTCTCGTGTGGGTGGCCCTCCTAGAAAGAGTTCAAGAACAAATATATATTTGGTTCCCATGCCATTTATAAAACAACGGGAAGGAAAAGAAAGAAAAGAAAAGATAAGGTTTTAAATTTTGCCTTGAGTAATTAAGTAAATTGCGGAAACAAAGGAAATCAAGAAATGAGATTTTGATTTCATTCCATGGTAACAAAAAATTTCGGATCTTTATTCTAATATAGTGACAATGATTTTTGTTGGAATTTTTGCTAATGTCACATTTAGTGGTTTGGTTTGACATTGTGATAATTCCTTAGCCACTGATGATTATAGCTAGAATTGATGGGGAAGTTTGTAATTATAATTTCGATTGGTTTGGTTACCACAGTTATAAATTTTCATTGTTGAATTGGTTGTTGCGAACCAAATTGATGACGAGCACTTATTCTCGTGGCCATGCAATAAATAAGGTTTAGTTTTGTGGCCAATAAAGTTTAGCATATTTAAATTTTCTCTTTTAATTGATGAAATATGAATGGTATTCTAAAAGTGCGAGTCACACATTTATTATATTTGTGGCTGCACTTTGAAGTAAAATTAAGAAGAAAAACAATTGAAAGAAAGATTTAAAAGGCTTCAAATTTTTACTATGGCCAATTTAGTTAATTGCGGAAATGAAAGGAACCATAGAAGGAGAATTTATGTGAGTGGTGTTGCAAATTTGGTTTTAATCTTCCTTCCATTAACCAGTGAGTGTGATTGAAAATTTCCAATGAATTTGGTTGAAATTTTTTATATTCGGTTTGTCAATTATAAAGTTTTGGCTTGAAATTTTGAGATTCTACTAGGTACTAATGGATGACTTAGAATTTTGATATTTAATTGACCGAAGATGGTTATGGCTGGAATTTATAATAATCATGGTTATTATGCTATTATATAACTAGCCAATGGTTGATGTGGTTTGATGTTTTGGTATATTTAGCCAACGAGAATTATGGTTTAAGGTTGATATTTATTTTGCCAATGAATGTGGCTAGGAATCTAAGAGTGTGGGTGAGAATCTCAATTATTATTCGTTGGATGCTTATTTTGGAGCCTAAATAAAATCGTAGACTGAGATTATGATATCATTCACCATTAAAGGAATGGTGGAAATAATTCTAATTCCTTTTCATTATTCGATGGTTAAAATCTCGGGGACAAGACTTATTTTAACGGGGGTGAATGTAACACCCTAAAATTTTTAAATACATGAATTACATATTCATCATCAGGAATATGTGGAAAGAATCGAGAATTTATATTAATTTATTGAGTTTAGTCTTAAATTAAACTAGTTATGAAGTTTGGAATTTGGGAATTAATTATTTAAAATCTGTAGACCTTTTGAGGTCACAATTTATATCTTTGAATAGAGCCCGATCTTACGAACGCGTAGGCGAAAACCATTCATGAAACAGAGTTATAACGAAAGAGTTATTAACGTTTAAAATCAAGGCTATTTTGGTAATTTTATTTCTATTTAGAAGGCTCCAGAAATCTAGAGCCATAAGTTGTGCCATGTGTGTGGCTGTGATTGAAGAGAAAAATAAATGATGGATGGTTGTGATTAAAAGAAAAGAATAGAAATGAGGAAAAGGAGGAAGGAATTGGAGGAGGGTGACCAATGGGGAGAGAGAACAGGGAGGAGAAATGAGAGAAAAGAGAAACGGAGGATCGGGACCCGGGTCTTGGTGACCCGACCCGATCGGCGCCCATACATAATTTCCGACAGGTTTTCACCCATTTTTTCCAGTGAATTACATCAAACAACCACATGGAAACCCCTCCATGACCTTCCCTCTTCCTATCACATCCCAAAAATATAGGGATTTGGACTTTAAATCGGGAGAAACCACACGGTGGGGTACAAGCGAGTGTGTGTTCGAATCAACTAAATCTGAAGCAAACTACATTCATCTCCACCACCATTAGACTCCCCTTGAGGTTTGGAACAAAGCCCAAACAATGGTAAGGGCGGCGGAGCACCGGAGGTGACGTTTGAGGCCACCCATTTATAAGGTTTCCGGCGGGTTCGAGGCAAATTGGAGTCTTTCCAGACCAAATTGGATTTGACCACAGGTATAAAGTTTGCTCTACTATTTGAGAACTTCATTTCTGTAATTTTTGAAAATTTTTAGGAATAGTTGAATTTCCGGCGAGCCGGGGCGGCCGACTGCCACCCGCGGCGGCGGGTGCGGCGACGCACGACCAGGGAGCCGACATTGAGTTTTTTTGCAAATTTCGTTATTCTAATTATGCTTTTGAGACCTAACTGTTGTGGTTTGAATATTAATACGATTGTGGTTTGGAAATGTGAACTAGGAATGGCTTGATCCCTGTTTAGGGTACATAGGCAGTCTAACGAGACGTTAGATGCAGCCATACAACAAGTGAGATTAAATAATCGAGAATTAATATTTAGATGGAATTTTGATCTAAGAGAAGGAAATGGTTCTAAATTGGAAGTGAAATTGTATGTTTTGGTAAATGATTAATGGTTCTGGATTATGTGGGATGAAGGAAATTATTTGGAGAATGATGACTAATGATAGTGAATTCAAATGTTAATTTAAAGATATGTTTTGACATTTAAGAAAATATGGATAGATTGTAAGAATTCTAATTATCGACTTAGAGGAATGTGATTAATGGAAATAAATTAACTATGTTGGTAAGTTGGGCCTACTATAATTAACTCCTGAAAACATATATTTCAGGGGCGGGGTGTTACACTTTATCTCCCCCTTTCTTCCACCCTTTATTACCTCTATATCTCCCCTTCTCTCCCTCCGTTTTCCCCTACCTTCCCAGCTCCCCCTTTTCCCCCAACTCCACCCCAGTTTTCACTTCTCCAAACCACCATAGTTGGTTATTTGGATTTTCTTTTTATGCATTTAATTTTCAACTTTTTCCTTTTTTAAGCATTTTATGTCTCAGGTTGCTCTGAGCTTGGCCTTAGATGTCCATGATTTTATCTCAGATCTGGCTTTTATGTCTTGTTCCTCTCCAAATATCACTCCTCACTGTGAATTTACAACCATCTACCCTTGTTGCTCGTTTCATTGGGTGTCTCTTCCTAAGATCTCCTCCAGAGGTGCACTTTGGTGGCTCGTAGCATTTAAAGTGCATTTTGCACTAATTGGTAGGATTATAGGAGTGCTCTCAGCGTAGGTAGCTTGCCTACCCTCATTTTTCGTGCATCTATTTAGTTCTTCGACCCTTCTTTCGGGTGATGGCAACGAATTTGCGGTGGCGGTAGTGCTGTTTGGTGGATGTGGCTGCTTTACAGTTTAAGGTCTAGGCTTTCTGGTTGTTAGTTGCTTTGGGCTGCTCACTTTGGGCTCATTTCATTGTAATTTTCTTTTATAGAGTTGGACTTTTGCTTGGCTATTATGGACTCTCGTTTTGAGTTGTCTTTACTTTGTACTAGCTTTCTCTTTTAATGAAATTTACTTTGATTGACCAAAAAAAGATGTTTGGTAAAAAAAACTAAATTTTAAAATTTTACGGTTAAAATGCCCCTAGAAAATTTGTAGTGTACTAATATCATGAAATGGAATGGGCCTTTTCCTATGTCCCTTGAAACCATACTTATTGGGCTGATATACATAAGTCTAACATAATTGGGTCAAGGGTAGTGTTGTACATTTCACGTCCTTCATAAGAAAAATATCTGTGCATTTCACTACATGCAAAGACATTCCTATGGAGAGTTTTCTTTACATATTTATACGGTCTTTTTCACAGAGAAATTTTTGCTAACATTCACTTTACTCAAACTCCAAGGAAAAAAACGATAATTTCTTACTTTATAACGGAAGAAGAGCACCAATTGATCTTTTGACTGGATGCATGAAGATTTTTATTTTTCAATTAGCCTCTTAAGGAGATTTTATAAAATAATTGATAGTTGTTGGAGTGTTTTATCTAATTTACTCGAACCTTGTGATAAGTCGAATATTTCTAATTCGGCCAAGTTACGGTATATGGCGCGGAACAGATGCATACTTTATGATGTCACACTAGTAAAGGAGAATTGTTAAATTGCGAAAAAAATTGAGGGTGACGGTCACATCGCATCACACGATTTCCGGATTACTAACCGACGTGGTATCCTTAGAGAAGTCATCAGGGTCCACTTTAGAGCAACTCCAGCGGAGGCTGGTTGCTCGGGCGACAGGCGAGGACAAAGGGCCCGAGGGCCGGTGGAGAGAGCTCCAGCCGTGTGGAGGTCGAGCGACGGTGGGAGCCCGAGCGAAGGTGGGGTGGGGAGTCGACGGGCCTGTGGCCCGAGTGCTTTGCAATTTTTTTTTTTTTTTGTGTCAAAGAGAGAGAGAGAGAGAGCTTTTTAATTTTTTATTATTTAAACAAACAAAAAAAACTATTATTTTAATTGTTTATTGCCTGGGGGGGAGGGCTCCAAGGGTGGAGATGCAAATGGCAATTACTATTTATTAATGGCAGTTACTATTCATTTAAGGCAGTTACTGTTCAAAAGGGTGGATTCAATAGTGGATTGCCAGGGGAGAAGGCTCCATGGGTGGAGTTGCTCATATAGACCCAGAGAGAAAAAGCAGCCAAATTTTAAAACCCCACATAAGACCAAGACCAAAATGTATGGGCCATGGGCATTTTCCACACAATCCTTCGAGGACGACCACCAAACCCCACCTCACGTTCCTCCAAAAATACAAGGAAGTTTCGCTCCTTGTTCGCCACGCGTAAATACGAAGCCCCATTTCACACGCCCACACACGTCCGACGCACAAGACATGTATGTGAAAATGCCTCAATGACATTGACCCATACATACATACATACATACATACACAATCATATCATAGGCAACCGCCATCGTCTCCATCATAAAATTCTACATCCTGCGTTACACTACAACAGTAACTGACCCGCAACTCTCTCGGCCTTTAAATGCCCACTACCCTCCCACCTTCTCACACTACAACGTCTCTCCCACTCTCCAATTTCTGAAAAACCAGAGGGAAGAGAAACCCGACTAATTTCTCAGAGAAAAACCAACCCTCCATGGCCAAGGTCACACTCCATTCCTCTCTCTCCCTCTCCCTCTCTATGCTTTTGGGTTTTGTGTTTCGATTAATGGGTTGGTGTTTGTTTTTGGTTTAATGCAGAAGAAGAAGGGCGGCGGCGGCGGCGACAATAACGCCGGCAACACCGCCAGCAACGACGGGGGTGAGAAGAAGAAGGGCGACGGAGGTGAGAAGAAGGAGGAAACCCCCATCACTGTAATCCTGAAGATTGACATGCACTGTGAGGGCTGCGCTACCAAGATTGTCAAACGCGTCAAAGGTTTTGCAGGTACGATAATAAATCCTTCAAAACTCATCACATTTACTTCACGAATTCTAAATTTCCCTTCATTTTCCACACGATTTTCCTCAAAATTTTCACAGCAATGTTCATTTACTGCTTTCTGCATCTGGGTTTTTACCCAAAAATATTCATTTACTTATTTTTGCATCTGGGTTTTTACTTTTTATTTCCCACAGACGTCAGACTCACTCGTCAAACCCCAGATTTTTTTTTTTTTCAAAACAAATTCAAAGAAATTTGATTCCGAATATGCTATGTTTCCTACATTAAGGTTCGTCCAAAATTTAGATTCGAACAATTTTTTGATTTTTTGCGGCGGCGTCGTTTGGTTACAGGGGTGGAGACAGTGAAGTCAGAGAGCCAGGCGAACAAGCTGACGGTGGTCGGGAAAGTGGACCCCACCACGCTCCGGGACAAGCTCGCCGCCAAGACCAATAAGAAGGTCGACCTCGTCTCCCCCCAGCCCAAAAAGGACAACAAAGACGACGGCGGCGACGCCAAGAAAAAGCCGCCGGAGAAATCCAACGACGACAAAAAAACCAAAGAGGTGCGTACTTCCAACGGCGCACTGGTGCACTGGTTCCCCCTTTCGCTAACGTGCGCCAGCCTCAATATTTTCAATTATTTAATTTTTAATTAAATGGGTTTGTATATTTGTGTGTGCAGCCTCCGGTGACGACCGCGGTTCTGAAGCTGAACCTCCACTGCCAGGGATGCATCCAGAAGATCCACAAGACCGTCACCAAGACGAAAGGTGGGCTTATCATCTCCCACTAATTGGCAACTTTTCGCGGTAAAACGCCGCCGTTTTTGTGATTTTGGTTTGGTTTTTAACGTGGGTGACGTGGCAGGGTTCACCGAGATGAGCATCGACAAGGAGAAGGAGCTGCTGACGGTGAAGGGCTCGATGGACATGAAGGTTCTGGCCGAGAGCTTGAAGGAGAAGCTGAAGAGGTCCGTCGACATTGTCCCGCCGAAGAAAGAGAAGGAGAAGGGCGAAAATAACGGCGGAGGCGGAGGTGGCGGCGGGGATAAGAAGAAAAAGGAAGGGGAGGAGGGAAAGGAGGGTGGGAAACTTGAGGGGAACAGGATGGATTTTCCTCCGGGTCCGACCGGGTACGGGCAGCAGATTCCATACGTGATGCCATACGGGCCTGGATACGGAGCACCCGGATACCCGATTCCGCCCCCACCGATGTACATTGGCAACCCGCCGGAGATGTTCAGCGATGAGAACCCTAATGCCTGCTCAATTATGTGAAGAAATTGCTGAATTAAGAAGGGATTAGAGTTAATAAGAAGTTGATATGAAGAAGACCAAGAGAAGAAAAAACAAGAACTGTAAATAAGAGAATAGACAGGGGTAGATGTGAGATAAATTTTGGTGGGGCGGGTTCGTCTCTGAACCGGTTTGGTTAGTAGAAATTAGAATATGCTGTTTTTGGATTCCCTTCTGATGTTAGTTTTGGAACACTACGATTTGTTTTTGTTGTTAATCCTACGGTTGTGATCTGGTTTAATGATGCTATTGTTGGTTACAATTTCAAGTTTCTACTCTTCGGAAATGTTACTTTTGCTCCTTTGAATTATCAAATGGAAGACTATTTAGATATAATTCTAAAAATCTTTAAACTGCCCACAAAAAATACTCCGCCTTTCAAAAAAGAAAGACACAAAGAACGGGAATTTCCAAAAGACGTTTGACAAAGTTACGAAATATCTACTCAACCCAGCCATCCTAGTGCCGCCAACGGCATAACGGGACTAAAAGTCTTGCTTACCAATTGTATACTTCTAAAAAAAAATTGCATATTTTGGGGGCAATTTTATTCCAACTACACTTTCAGATAATCGTAAGTAAATCGTAGATAGCGAAAACTTGTATAATATTAACATGGGATACAATCTTTCAGATTATAAATACAGCTGTATTTTGGCTGCTTTTTTTTTATGTGGCCAACGGCGCGTGGCTAGACTTGTAAACCGGTCAGGTTTATTGGGTTTGAATCGGGTTGAATCCGACCGGTTAAGTTAACGGGTCATCCGAACTCGACCCGTTAACTTTTTTTTTTTTCATAAAGTTTATATTTTGTTGTTAAGACTTTATTGAAATTACTAAAACATCCTCAACTAACGGGTGTTAACGGGTTGTTAATGGGTTCATCCGTTAGGAACCTGACCCGTTAAGCATTCATCCAAATACTAAAATTAACGGGTCGAGTTGGATCAGGTTAACGGGTCAGATCCAAAATGACAGGTCTGGCTAGGTGCAAATGCGATCAGGTGCCGTTCAGTTATAATTAAGGTGGTATTAGCAGTTAATCACTCTGCATCTGGTGAGAGCGAAGGAAGCACTAAAAACAGAAGAAAATTGTTGTTAAGTGTGCGGTTTGGCTTTAGTGGTATACAAATACAACCACTTGGACAATGACATGTCATTAATGTCATTCTCAACACTTACCCTACATTTGAATTTGATTACAAATATATAAATAAAATAAACAAATATAATCATCAAGAGGATTCTTAATTTCGAAATCTTAATATAAAATTAGTTTAATCTTGTCACTTAGTACGGTCTAGTAGTATTCTTCTTCATTTATAAGTGACTAGTTTTAAGTTCGATTATCGTCAAAATCGAATTTAAACCACATTATTAATAGCCATTTATCAGGTTTAACCCACTCATATACCCCTTTGATAGAGATAATATTATTTGTTCGATAAAATTAGTTTAATCTTAATTATAATATTTAGTATTTTTGGGTTGTTGAATATTCTAGTCTATAGTTGGAGGTCACAGATGGGAACACATTGGCTTAGCATTATTTATCAATTTAATAAGTTATTCTATGGTTACGATTCTTTTGATTATAATTAACAATCAATTTGGTCCTATGTGACATCCCCAGCACAATTTTAGGAGAGGGCAAAGCTTGAGGAGTACAAGTGTACAACTTTCTTTTGTTTATATATCCACGTGTACCTAACTCACTCGTTCTAATTATTTTTAAGCGCCATGTGTTACGTGTTTTGAATCAAAACTAAACAAATGCAGGTCAATCTTAAGCTAATTTTCCGAGAATTTATAAAATTTCTCTTAAACTACATACTCAATAGATGAGAATAACCCCTTAATGAAGTTTTCATCTTATTATAAAATTTAAATGATTGATGTTACTACACAAATTGGCTCAAATGATGAATTTTATAAATTTCAATTGATGAATTGATTAACTTAAAAAAAGAGTGACCATTGTTCTAAAAATGCCCGCTTAGGCCCAACCTAGATGCTTAGCAGCTGGTCACCGCCCCGATTAGTTCCTAGGAATAAGAAAATTAAGAAAGTACATCTAGAACCGCTTAGAAGTCAGCCTAGGCCCCGCCTAGGTCGCGACTCTCACTTGGATAAAAAATTGATAACTTTCATTTTGCACTTTAATTTTTCAATAAAATGTCAAAAACTTGTTGAATACTTGGATGAACGGTCATTATATGCTTGTTTTCATGTTTTAAATATGTTCTAATACTTTATAACCCATATTTCATTTTATTTTGCAATTTATATATTCTAATACAATTATGTGTGCGTTTAAGTATAAACATACACTTATTTATACAATATATAATAAATTTACTTAAATTCACCTAAGCTCCCGTCTAGCTGCTAGGCCTCAGCTCTCCGCCTAACTAGCGTTTAGAGTCTTTTAGAACCTTGATAGTGACATATAAATCAAACGTTAACAAAATATCTATGAAACCAAGTGCAATATCAATCAAACGTTAACGAAACATTTATCAAACATAGTGACACATCAATTAAAAATCGACGGACCAGCTAAAAGTCTCTTTAAATTGCCACTTTAATAGTACGTAGATATTATAAACAAATGTCTTAACAAGAAGACAAATAATATCTCCAATGCGAATGCTATAAAAACTTAAGGGAATTTTAACGAAAAGCTCTTGGTATTGTTCACTTTAACGAAAAATCACATTTTTACATTAAAAAGTCAATCCAGGTACTATTCACTTTACCCTTTAATTTGTCCTTATCGTTAAAACTCAAAGTTTTCAAGCCATTTTCATTAGTTTTTCTTAATCTAATCCCTGAGATTGTAACCGTGGAGCACAAGCAGTCCATTTTCCTTGAGGACACTTTTGAATGGATAGGCCATTGGCTGAGGTGTTGTCGTGCACGTTTCAGTGAGCGTACGACGCGACCGTCTAAACGTTCCTGCGTCCAATTCATGTCGACCAATTTTGCCTATTTTCAAAGCAGTAGTGCGACTGTTTGAGTGGGACTGACTCTTCGATACCATGGACAGTCAATACTGTGGGAGGGAGGCCGCACGACACAATAATTGTTCGTCGATTTCCTATTTGAAATTTGAGAGGGTGACGACTCAATTATTCCTTTCCTCTATGAAAGTCTTTATTTTTTTTGCTCAAGAAGAAATAGTTTATATTGATCAGGTTAGAGTTTGGTTTTGTTCGGTTTGGTCTCAAATCGCAACCAAACTAATGTTAACGTTACAGTCCGATTTGGTTTGATTTTAAGCAAATCAACTCAATTAATTAGTGACCGATTTAGTTTGGTGATTTCTCTATAACAAATCAAATTTTATATTGCAAATTGATGATTAGTGGAGGAAACTTATTTTTCTTGAAAATTGAGATATTTTCAAAGAGGAATTTGATGTCAAATTAGAATTGTTATGAGATTTTGTACTTGGCAACAACTAGTGAGTATCTACGTATAAGATGGAACATACTAGTACAAAAGTGACGACCAATAAGAAGATATCAAGTATTACAAAATATATGCGATTTAGTTGTTTAGCCCGCTTTTAAATAATTTAAGCCAAACCAAACTAATTATAATTATGCTAAATTCATTTGAATACTATATTGTTATATCGTGACAACTAAATCAACGCATTTTACGAAAATCAAAGAGCTCGTTTGGATGTGCTTTTAAAATGACTGAAAGCGCTTTTGATGAAAATGATTTTAGAACCAATATTTAGAAAAGATACAAGTAATCCAAAAACATTTTCTCTAAAAACATTTTTAGTTATTTTAAAAGCACATCCAAACGATTACAAAATCGCATCTGATTGCGTCTATTAAAAATGTCAAATAAGCGATTTTTAAAACATATTCAAAAAGCATTTGAGGTAAGTTTTTGATAAACCGTTAAACTTGTGTATTGAATAGTAAAAACGCTTTTAACGTAAACATGTATGAGCATTAAAATGAGACCTACAAAATCAATGCATGATCATCGTCATAAATGACCATGAGAGTCAATTTCTTGACCTTGATTTTCCAACAATGAATCTGGCCGGAAACGAATTAAAACATACCTTAGTGCAAATTCAATTGATGTCCACATCAATAGTAACAATAACAAGACAATTTGGGTATTTTTCAACCGAAATGTCAATTCTTACTTGACATATAAGCCTTTAAGTTTAATTTTTATGTTTAAAATTTGACATCTTATTAGAACAGAGGAGATGTTAAGTAGGTATCCACATGATTCTTTGAAGGTGAAAAATCAATTGCATCCTATTGTATTTTTTCAATTTGCATCCTACTGTCTGTTAATTTTTTTAATTTTTCTCTATCTTCGTTAAGTATATATCCACATGACTGCATTTGAAGGGTAAAAAAAAAAATTTGCACCCTATTGTCATTTTTTCAATTTGCATCCTACTGTCATTTTTCGTTAAATAGGTTTCCCTACACCTTACCAAAGGTAGACGAGGTCGAGGGAGGAGCGACGGGATGTGGAGCTGCAAACTACAAAAGCAGCATATCAAATGGAATGGGCTGCAAACAGCGAAGGAGGGAGGCGTTGGCAGCAGTCACGAGCTCGACTTGGAGAAAAAGGAAGAACAAGAAAGTTCGAAGAAAATGAAAAGATAGAAGATGTAGGAAAAATTTTTTTTGCTCTTTAAAGGTAGTCATGCGAATTCCTACTTAACGGAAGAATAGATGAAAAATTAAAAAAATTAACATTATGGTGCAAATTGACTAATTATGAGGGTTGAAGGGGAAATTGGTCAAAATTAAGTTGAGGGGGGAAATTGGCCAATCCTTACAAGTTCAAGGGGATAAATTGATGAATACCTCTTTATAGAACGCATGAGCTTTGCTTCGTAGCTCTGGAATAGGATTTTGTCTTGATCCTCTTTGTGAAGATCTGAGATTCAATCAATCGTGTTCGTTCATCATATATCATGTGGTTAGAAATTTTAATTTTAAAATTGAATATAAATAGTATCTAATAAAAATTACTACACATATATGATGAACAAACACAATTAATTGATTTTCCGGATTCTCACAAAAAATTCTAGAGAGGATCCTTGTCCCGTAGCTCCTTCGGAATAAGATCTTTTACTAGCCGATACCTTTCAGACACGTTTTCCTCATCTCCACGTGGCAGCGGCCGAGCGGTGAGAATGCTACGGCTACGATCGCTCAATCGACGCACGTGAGGACGGACGGTGCGATGCCTGCTTGTTTCCGCGAAGGTTCCTAGCTT